CCCCCCCCCCGTGGAAGTGGAGAAGCCCCTTTTTGGGGGGGGGAGGGAATAGGCCCTCCTGGGATGGGGGAGGGGACGGAAGCCCCCTCACGGGTGGGATGAGAAAGACCCACTTTGGATTGGGGAGGAGAGAGTGGGACCCCTTTGGGTTGCGGGTGGGGAAAGGAGAGACCCCCCTCTCCAACAGCAGCTGGGGGTGGCAGCATCCCCCTCACACGTTTCTGGGGTGATCGCTCCTCCACGCTGGCGTTTCAGGTCCCCTCCTCCCCCAGGCCACAGGCGAAGTGGCCGGGGGGGGGCGGGGGTTTCTCCCGGGTTTTGGGGGGTCTCCAAGCGTGGGTGTCCGAGTCCAGTTGGGGACCTCGTGGGACCTCAAAGTCCCGAGTCCCAAACTACACCATGGCGCCGCTCCGACGGGGCGCGACACTGGGTTAACAAGGACGTGTCCTGCCGGGTGATTCCCATGTGGATCCAACCTCCTGTGTGTCCCATCGTCCCCCGTGTGTGTCCACGACTGGCTCCTGGGCGATACTACGTCCGTGAGGGTGCACCTCACGCCCCCATGTCCGGCTCTCTCTTCCAGCCCTGTCCCGTGTGTGTGTCCCTCCACCCCTCGCCATGTACGCGTGTGCAAAGTTCGTCTCCGCTCCTGCACTAGTGAGTAGTGAGAAACCCCTCTTAAGTCCTCGAAATTCTGGCCCTTCTGTGGGTGATGCGTTAAGGGCAGCCCTGTCCTGCCACGGGAGCAGGGCAGCATCGCGGCAAGGAGGGGAGCTCAGGAGTCTGGTTCTGGCCTGTCCCTCCGCAGGGTGAGGGTGTATGGGGGTGAAATGTGCCCCTTCTCAGGTGCTTTGGGAGGGCAGAAGATATTTGGGGATGCTGTGCAGGGGTTAGAGCCACCCTAGGCCACACTGAAGGTGTGCGGAGCTCCGTGCGCTCTGCCCTGGGTCCCTCGCCTGCTCTGGTTAAAGATCGTTTGCCAGCCGGAGCCGTAACCTCGCTGGTTACTAATTACTCACGTGGATGCCAATACCGCACGTCCTTGGCCGGGTGTCAGCGGCAGCGGCCTTGCGGGATCCTTACACTGAGCCCTACGTGGAGCAGGGCGGCCGCGGGGGTGCTGGATGCAACCAGAGCAACAGGAGGGGGTGCTGCTGACTTGCGGGACGCCCCGAGGGGCCGAGCAGCCTTCAGGGTGGCAGCAACGGTGGGCTCAGGGGGACCCGTTCACGGCAGGTCGTCCCACCAGTGGGGTTTCCCTGCCTGCGGGGGTGGTGTGGCCCCTGTGTCTGACAGCATTTGGCCTTTGCAGGTGAGGAAGAGCTCGCGGGTGCTGTGCCGGCCCCTCTCTGCCTCCGTGCTGAGCAGCCCTGAGGCCCGGACAGAGCAGGTAACACTCCCAGCTTGGGCTGGGGGGTGCTGAGCACCGGCCTGGGGAGAGGGGACAGGGAAAGGACCATGCCCTGCTCTTGGATTCAAGGAGCTGAATCCAGGGCTTCCCTCGGGGAGGGGGAAACACTGCTGTGAACTCGATATCGGGGAAAATGAAGCCCGCTGGAGCTGAGGCTCCACTCCCCTCTGACTGGCTCTGCCACGCTCCCGTCCCCCAGGCCCGGCAGGGCGCCCAGAGCCAGCCTGCCTGCCGGGGCCTCCAGACCAGCACGGGCAAAGCAGGGGGGGTCGGGGGCCCTCTGTGCCCTCCTGACCACTGTCTCCTTTCCCCGCAGGAACCCGTCCCTCAAACAGCAGCTTTTCTCCTACGCCATCCTGGGCTTTGCCCTCTCCGAGGCCATGGGGCTGTTCTGCCTCATGGTGGCCTTCCTCATCCTCTTCGCCATGTGACAGAGCTGGTGCCCACACTTGTCAGGTCCCAAGTGCAGCCGTGAATGTCTGGCGTGGGGCAGGGGAGAGCCCCGCTCCAAACCCTGTCACCCCGCTGTCAGGAAGTGAATAAATACGGTTTGAAAACGGGTTCTCGTCTCCTCATTTTTTGGCAGCCTCGGGACAGGCTGTCGTTTGCCTGTGCCCCGGGGGACTGCGGGACAGGCTGGTGCTGGGGCACGGTGCCAGAGGGGAACCACACTGCACTGGGAGCGTCCTGGGGCATGCGGCGGGTGGCAACATCCCTGGAGCCAGGCCCTGGGGGGACACCTGGTGCCTGGGGCTGAATCCTGCTGCCCCTCTGGGCCCCCAGCCCATCCCCAAGTCCCAGGGTGGAAGGGGAAACCGAGGCACAGGGCTCCCCAGCCATGGCGTCTGCTCCTTGGGGACGTGACGGGGTCAAGGGCTGCACAGGGGGCAACTGAGTCACAAGGCTGGCGGCAGCCCGCGGCCTCGCGGTCATCAGGATCGTCCTGCTGCTTGGGGAGGTCCCTCACGCTGTCCCTATGCCGGGTGACCTCCTCTTCCCTCCGAGGGGGACGGGGAAAGCTGGGCACCACCCACGTGGCACAGTGCAACGCGGCATGGCCAGAGCTGCCGGTGCCGAGAAGGGACGCGACGTGAGGATGCCGGGGACCCATCCGGCGTCGAGGGCTTCTCGGGACGGGTTAAACAAAGGGATGGAAAAGCTAACGAGTCACCAGCGCCCAGATCGCTAAGGAAGCCGTTAGCACTGCCCGGCCGGGGCCACGAACGGGACGGATATTTCATGTTTCCGCCCGGGAGCGCAGGCCCCGATGCGACGGAGGGGAGCGAAGAATGGGTCTTTGTTCGCGCCGGGCTGCGGCTCGGCGCGCTGGAGATGTTTGGCTTGGCAAGAAAAACCCCTCGGCCCCCTCCGGCTCGCCCCAGCCGTTCTGCCCGGCTGATAGTTGTAGGGTTTCTCCCGGCACCGGCTCTGTCCCCCTCTGTCGCAGGGTTTGGGGTGACCCGTGGTTTGCGGAGTCCCAGGATCCATGGGGTTCGGGTGTGCTGGGATACCAGGCGGGGGGTTCCTGGCATCGGGGCTATCTGGGGTATCTGGTTTTGGGGTGCCAGTGTCAGGGGTGTCCCAGAGCGGGGCTGTCTCCACGCTGGCGTGTTCCGGCCTTGGGGGGTGACCCAGTGTTAGGCTGTCCCCAATTTTGGGCTGTCCCGTCGTCAGGATGTCCTGACGTGGGGGTTGTCCCAGTATCAGGGGAGCCCGTGTCGGGATGTGCCCAGTTTTGGGGGTGTCCCGGTGTTGGGTTGCCCCCGGCCCTGTGCCCGTGCCCGGCCGAAGGGCGGCCTGGGGACACGCTGTCCCCCATGGCCTCTGTCCCCGGTCACTCTCTGCGTCCCCAAGATGGGCCCCCCTCCCCCGTCGGTCTCTCTGTCCCCCCGGAGGTCTCTCT